TTATTAAAAGGGAACATTCTTTAAGAATTCCACTTCTACATATTTGACTGGAAAACACTATTCTCGGTCCGTCCACTTTTAGTTACTTGTTTTAGATTGATGTTAAAACCATTTTTCATACAACCAAAATGGAATTCATTTTTATTTCTCTTAGAAATATACAACTAAAACATTTCAACCAGAATAATTTGATGAGCGTCACTCTAGAATTTGTTCTAATTGTGCAGAATCTTTCTTTCTTTTTCTAAAAGGGAGTTTAGATGATCCTTATTTAAAGATATGAAACTACCTGTACACAAATCAAAAAATGTTTTCTTTTTTAGTTTCTAAAATAAAAATTACTTTCTAATTTTTTTGGAGATGTTAATGATTTCATATTTTATTATGATCATTTGGGAAACAAAGAACCAGGTTACCCATGCCCAAAATATGGATGGTTTAAAACGCGAATTGTCTCATATAATTTAAAAAATTATAAATATTTCATTGTCAGAATTTTTTATTTAACAGAATTAATTAAATAAATAAAATTTCTAATTGTTCTCCTATATAATAATAAAATTACTTAAATTATTAATTGAAATATATTTCTGATATCATTAAAAATTGTTAATTAACTTGATAATTTATTATAAAAATAGTCATTTGTTATATAATTAAAAACTTGAAGAGGCAAAATATAATTTTAAATTTTTTTTTAAAAATTATATTTTAAACAAATTTTATTAAAAGTATTTTTAATTTACCCTAATTATAATTATTTCCCAAGGGCGTTGCTCTCCTCAAACCAACTCCTCATTACTCATCGGGTTCGTTTGTTTTCAGAGGTAGGTTGTGTGAGATTATTAGTAAGGGGATTGTTAGTGAGGGGATTAAGAAAAATTATATTTATTTGATAACCAGTGGACTACCAATAGTTCTTATTTATTTTGAGAGATAGGATTAGGATTAATCATATAAAATTTCACAAATAGCCTTGTTACATTATTATCAAATTTGGGTTTATACCAACTAATAAATGCATCATATATTTTAATATTAAAAATATATTTTATAAATATTAAAATTATATTTTAATATTAAAAATTATATTTCGTAAATATATATATTTTTGGTACTATTTTATTTTGTTAATATAATTTTATTGGGTATAAATATTATTATACTACTATATTTTATGTTAAATTATTTTGATATATAGAATGGTGGAGTAAAAATGGTAGAATAATTAGAAAAATAATAGAGAAAAGACCATACTAATTAAGTAGAGTAAGTAAATTAGATAGGATAATAGAGAGCAAAAATAGTAAATCCTCCATTAATCCCAATAAATTATTTTTCTAATACCATCTCTCATGTGAGATCATTAATCCTATATATGGAAACCTATTATAAACCCAAAATATTATGAATTTTATTTCTTATTTTGTAAACAAACAAAATATTAATAAATTTTACATCTATCATAATCTAATTCCATCTTTTATAACCCAAAACAAACATCCTATCATGATACGTAAAAGCAGAGCTACAAAGGTCCACAAAACCGTCTGACTACCATCATCTTTGCTTTACCTTTACATGATAGGGGTTTAATGGGTGGACACGAGTTCATGATAATGTAATGTGCATCCCCCCAATCATGAACACCACACCACACTACACTGTTGTCATATTTAATTGTACCTATCATTTTAATTTCAATTGGTTCATTTCAAAATTTAAATTTTTATTATTGTATGTCACTATTTTACATAAAAATAAACAAAAATAAAAATATTCAACTATGGAGCAAAAATATTCAACTTAAAAACAGTGGTCAAGCTGAGTTAAGATTATAATATTTCATGATTTTGGATAAGAATTATAGAAGATACTATCAAAATGTAGATGCTTAGATTTGAATTTTGAACCTAATAACTTGAAAATACAGTAACTCTACTATGAAGTTGATCTTGTAATTCTTCTCGCCAACTTTCTTGTTAATTAATCGACTTTAAAAAATAAAAATAAAAAGTACAAACTAGAAAAAAAAAAAAACAAAAAAAAATAGAAATTCAATTTAAAAATTTATAACTTAGTTGGATTTTGAGCGCATGAATTGAAAAGTGTAAAATAATTTGTATAAAAATTATAATGGAATAACATTTTAAGTGGTATAATTTGATTAGTTTAGGACAAATTTTAAAAAGATGTGTATTATATGTATCTGTTATATTTTTATGGTGTATGTTATGTATTTTTGTGATAAATATTATATAATATTTTTAGTAGAGTTACAATAATTTGTAATTAAAAAATGAGATTACGCGTTATGGGATAATGTTACATATTTTTTTATTCAAACATTTTCTTATGTATAACATTACCACAAAATGTATAATATCATTTCTGAATCACAAATTATTACAAGTTGTAACTCTAAAAAAAAGATAATATTTATTACAAAAATACATAACATATACCACAAAATGTGTGATTAGGGTCATATGAGGGCTGTTTTGACAATTGGCTAAAATTGTCAAGAAACCAAAAAAATATGGGGGATTTGGTCAAACCCCTCGTAATAAAATTTTAATACATTAAAGACAAACATAAAAAGTTTTTTTTTATTGAAAAATCTAACACACAACGCTATTATCAAAATATTTTTAATGACTAATTTAATATTTTAAATTTTAAAATAATATAATTTTTTATCTAGATATTGGTTTTTAATAAAAATTAATATTTTTAGAATACACTCATCAATATTTATCAAATAAGATGTAAGCAAAATTGACGTAAACAGTAACATTTTAATTTGTTTCACAATAAAATTTTACAATCAATAGATTTGCTTGGGAACAAGCTTATAAGCTAGTTTATTGGCTTGTTTGAGTCGTATCACCTCTCTACTTTTTTCACATTTTTTTTGTAATAAGCCAAAAAAACATCTTATAAGTCACTTCTCAAAACAACCATAAATTAGTAAACATATCTTCACTACGAGTTCTAATAAGCTAAAAAATCAGCTTATAAGTCACTTCTCAAAACAACCATAAATTAGTAAACATATCTTCACTACGAGTTCACAAAACAAATCACACAAACAGAGTAACATATTACTATTATATGAATAGGGAATTAAAAATAAAAATACAGAGTACATGGATCTTGATGTGTCTCTTCCATTACCGTCTTCACCTCAGAATTGAATCGACCCCGATGTGTCTCTTCCACTACCGTCTTCACTTCAGAATTGTCTTGCCCAACGTTAAATCCACAACGCTGATGTCAAATTCACACCGATGAGCCACTCTACAATCCACCAAAGTTTCAGGCCTAAGTTCCCCAAAATTCACCAAAGAACAACTCTCTATTTTTTGAATAAAAGAAAACAAATAAACCCTTTGATAATGTTGATATAAATTCATGGATCCATTAATCACTTTTAAATCATCAAGGAAACACTCATAAAGCACCTCCAATATAAAACACTTTGTTTTTTATTCCTCTCTGAAAATCTGAATGACTCAAATCCTAAAACGAGCAAATAACATACTTTATAACTTGACCGCTCGAGCGATGTGAGTAAAGGCGGTGTAAAATATATAGGCTGATCGCTCGAACGCAACATTCACCGCTCAAGCGATAAAATTTTCTTTCCAGAAGTTCAGCACTCTATAAAAGTAACTAGATGATTATTTTCTCCGCTCGAGCACACAAATGACCGCTCGAGCAGTCAAACAACTTTGACTGTATTTTTACTTTTTGCTCGATCCCCGTACATAGTCAGCAAAATGGCAAACATGAAAGGATTAGATCACAGACCCCTCTGCATAGACATAATTTGGGTTGTATTCGCATTTAAACACTCATATCCTTACTAAAACAAAAGAACGAATAAAATTACAACTGAAAAGAGTTATGTCAAACGGAATTGTCAATTACAAAAACCTAATAAAATTCAAATAATATTTGTCGTCGTTACTATTGGCATATCATATATTTTCAAATTCATAATGTGAACATTCATTGCACGATTATTAGAAGCCAAGCTATTATTGAAATCAATTAAAATTTTCACTATTAATATTCATAATTTATATTTAACAATGTGAACAAACATAAAAAATAAATAAATAAATAATTAACAGTTTTAATCCAAGCAATTATTGAAATCAATTAAAATTTTCACATAAAAAATAATCAAAACATCAATTACAAATTTCATAATTACATATGAGACTAATCAAAATAAGCTAATGATTAATGGCAACTACTAGTTGACACACATGATATGTGTAATTCAAATAAATAAAAATAAAATAAAATATTTATCATATATTGTATGTCATTCACTACAAAAAAATTGACTTTTTGCGACGGTAAAATACCGTCGCTAATACTCCTAATGCCGTCGCAAAAACTTTTTGCCACGGCAAAATAACTTTTTGCGACGGTAAGAGGGGGTCGCAAATGGAGGGGTTGCAAAAGAGTTTTTGTGTGCCGTCGCTAATGTTTTTGCGACGGCATTTTTGCCTTTTGCGACGGCACTGTACAGTCACTAATAATGTTTGAAGTTTCTTGACTTTTTTGCGACGGCACTATTTTACTGTCGCTAAAAATGTTATTTGAGACGGCAAAAAATACTGTCACTAATAGTCTTTTTTTCAACGGCAAAAAACACCGTTTTTGGGACGGTGTGGTGCCGTCGCAAAAAGTATTAAAAAAATAATAAAATTTTTATTTTTTGCGACAGTTTAGTATCGTCGCAAAAAATAAAACCTGTAACAAAATCAATAAAAATAATAAAATTTTCTGTTTTTTGCGACAGTATAGTGCCGTCACAAAAAAGAAAAAAAAATCCTCCGATAAAATTATTAAAAATGTGAAATTTGTTAGCCAACTACTAACTACTAGGTACTTGCCAAGTATCAAAACTAACAGGGTAAAATGTGAAATTTGTTAGCATAAATGGAAATATCTTGAATGAGAAAAAAATAACAAAGATAAAACCTAAATTGTCTTCCATCTATTGAAAACAAAACTGAGCAACAACAATTTCAAGTCATAAATTAAATTTTCATGTGTCCCAAACTTTCAAAACATAAAAAAAGACCATAGTAGTATGGAGGGAGGAAGCTACATTGGAACAACACACGAAGAAATACCTGGAATTTACATTTAAGGCATTAAAAACTTTTTTTGGTTTTTTGATACAGAGAACTCCATTATTCTTCTAGTCAAACAAGGACAGTAGAGATTGATGGAAGAGGGCATGACATAATAATCTCACTTGGCACCTACTCCATCATAACCTCCTCTCGAATCACCTCCTCCACCATAACCTCCTCTCGAATCACGTCCACGCCCATCCCTACCACGAGTGTCGGGACTATAGTACCTATCTCCAGCGGGCTTTAAGAACTCGTTAATGCTGACAGACTGCAACAAGTGAATCAAGAATCAGTTAACCCAAAATTTGAAAACACCACGCATTTTACATCCACCAAAAGGATAAGTATCTGAGCAATATGCATGAGTATTGATGACAAATTTCAGGGTAAGGAAAGCAATATGCATGAAATCGTAAAATCATCGGCTATATCCTATATAAAATGTGTTGAAATAGGTGAAAAGTGTAAATAAACGTGTATAGGAATATGTGAAATGTGTATATGATTTTTATTATTTGTTGACATTATTTGGTCCTTAACAAACATCCATCGAATATCGTTAGTAGGACCATTATTTAATTATCTTTCAACAATTCAGGAATTTGGACTGCATTTAGGCAAACTTTGAAAACCCTAAGAAAAGGGCAACAGTAGTTCACTAAATATCTTGCAATGGATGAAAGAAATCTTTCCGCAAGCCATGTCCAGATAACTCGATTAGCCATATAATAATTGGCCAAGTACTATCCAGTTAAGACTCTCAATGTGAGCCCTTGAACTATATACACCAATATATAAAACATCTTTGTTATGTGGAGCAGATACACCAGACGTTTTGAGTCTGCCAGTTCACAGTGATCCAAAATCCAAATCAACAACGCAAACTAAAAGAAAGACAAAACAATGTGCAGATCAACAGAAAAGAAAAAAAAAAAAAAGTGCCAATAGTAAGTAGGAGTGCAGGGCTCGCAAATTTGACCACGAGGTTTAACTATGTCTCTGAAAAGTTCAGGCAAACCATCGTACCTTTTTGGATTTCTCTTCCTTTTCAGCCAATTCTTTTCGCTTATCCTTGTCAGAACCCTATATAAAACATCATATGTAACTCATAATTAATATAGTTGTGAGTTTATGAAAAGAAAAATTCAAGTAGTGTCAACGGATTTCACCAATTTAACAAAGATGTCGTTATTGTCCTTCTTGCTTGAGAGTTGTTGCATGGATGCCAGTTCTTTGTCAACAGCCACCTTCCTTTCCTCAGTTTTAAGGGCCAGCAGTGCCTTCCTCTTCTCTTCCAGCACCTTCTCATACTCTTCAAGTGTCATCTCCTTATCCTCAGGTTCTTTTCCTCCAGCCTCATTTGCAGTGTTCTCCTTGTTGACATCTGTTGCATCCTCCTGAGGCTTCTCAGCAACCCAACGTGCAATAATTGTCTCCTCTAAACCTCTGTAGTTGAAAATTTGTACAAGCTGTGAGAGCTTTCTTATGAATGGGATTGAACTGCCCTCATCTCGGATTACAGGATCAAGTGGTGTAGATGCTGCTAGCATTGGGTACATAGGCGATGAATGGGATGAAGAATACGACAAGGGAAAAAGGAAGAAGGTGAGGTGCTCCCAGATAGAATTTGGTGGACCAAATCCATTCCAAGAAATTGCAACGAAGAAGACAAAGTTGAAGAAAGTGAAGACAGACCAGTTCAGCTTTGGAAACCAACCTTTCAGGATATGATTTCACTACATATATATCTCTTCCAATGGAGAGGAAGCTTGATTTGTTACTCCAGTGGTGGATTTTGCACTATACATGGCCCTCCCTCGGTAATAACCCCTTTGTTTTTATTATCATTCCTCACCCATGTGATCCACTCTACCGAAGCCAAATAAAATAAATAAATACTTCAACACATGCATTGAACCTCCTGGGTCCACCCACTTCACTATTCTTCTTCTAATTCTACGGATTCAAAAAACCAATCCAAACCTATCGGATTGGACTGGACTGGATCGGATTACGGATTTCACGGATTCCTTGCTCAGCCCTACTTCTCATACTCTTCAAGTGTCATCTCTTGTATTGTTTTCAGGACAATTACCATAAGAATATTTAGAGATGCGTAAAAAATACCATTATCATGCTTAATTACACAGATGAACTGCGTCCTGACTTTTGAATTCCTCAAAGTTTTTTGTTATCATAATAGAGTAATCATTATCAATCAATCCTTCAAATTCCTACACAGACATTTAGGATAGCACTATTGAAAAGGTTCTGCTACAACCAAGATGATAAGAAACTTAAAAAAATAAAATTTTGATTGATATATTTTAGGAAATGATATTCACACTCCCCCTCATGAGAGGGTTGCAACATGATGGCAGTGTATATACATATAACGAAGAAGTGAACATCCAAAATTGCCACACTAACATATTTAGTATAGAATAGACCATTATACATTTATAATAAAAATGAAACAATACATGCCTACCTGTTGAGCAAATGCTGCTGCCTCAATTGCGGCAGCCGCAAGACTGCTTGACTGAGAAGATCCTGATGGCCCTGATCCCGGTCCAAGAATGCTTTTTGCATATGGTACTCGCAGAATCTGTCCGTTCTTTTCTAGAGTTGCCCCGTTTGTTGCTCCAAGAGCTTTGGTAGCATCCTCAACCTGGAGAACAAGAAAACACATAAAAACCATAGTTTGAGCATGAATATCAATATGTTTCAACAAACAATAACATGATAAAAAAATATTTATATTTATAAAAACCTAACTTTTATTAAGAGTGGAAAAAAATACGACAAAAATAAAAAGCACAAAGACTGAGATGACCACAATGCCTTTATAATTGCAGTTTGCATCTTACATAGTTTTTAAAGTGAGCCCCGTTGCAACTCATAAATCAGCTAAGCAGTCCCATTTGTCTAATCAAAATCAAATCAGCGTGACAAAATCAAGTGACATTTTGAGAGCAAAAATGAAATATCATATAGTCTTTATGCTGGGTCATTGTGGTAGACTTGGTAACTAGAAAATTTCTGAAGCCCATTCAGGTGATAGTCAACAAACATGGAAATAAAAATTAGAATTAAGTTAAATAAACAAATTAATGCTAACAGCAAGCACCCAATTGAGCAAACCATAATAAGAGTAAAACCTGATCTTTTAAGTTTAAATAGTTGATGGTATATCACACAGAAAAGACACTAACATCTATGAAATGAAACCCAATCCACTGAAATTTAGCAAAGAAATACATATTTGAGGAAAATTAATCAATACAGAACATGCCCAATTTCAGAAAGAAACCAATAATAAGAAAAGAATCCAAACTGATAGGTTGATTAACAAGAAACCCAAGAAAGAAATAAATTAATCATAGAATTGAAAATTATACATGAAGGTTTTGAGATTAGAATGGACCTCGAGAAGGAAAATACTGAGACATCGGAGAGTAGATTCTCTTAGGGCTTGGTCTTAAAGTTCGATGATGACTTGAGGAATTGCCATAGCTCTCTTCGACATCCAGCGCACTTTGTGCTTCTTTCGTCCACTTTTTTGAACTTTAGCAATTGAAAAATCTGTGATAATCAAAGAACACGTCACGGTAATGAATCAATAAGAATTGAGAGAGAGAGAGACCTTGATCGATCTTGGAGTTGTAAAGGAGGTGGAGAGTTCGTTCTTCCCATGGCTCGTCTTGAAGGCCGTCGTGAATGTCTTCACTCAACTCATCCGATTCACTATCACCGACTGATTCTGATTTCCTACTTCTACGCCTAGAACTCCTGCTCTTCTTCTTCCTCCTCGACCGTGAATCATCCGAATCAGCATCTGAAACAAATTGAGACGGAGAGAGAGAGAGAGAGACGTAAGAAGAGATTAGGGATTTTGAGATTGGGGATTTTGGTTCAAGAGATTGGGGATTTTGGGTTTGGGTTTGGAGTGGGGGGAAACCCGAGCTGGAATGGAAAAGAGAGGGGGGGGAGAGATTAGGGATTTTTGAGATTGGGGATTTTGGATT